GTCCCCGCCCCCCCCCATCCATGAGCTCCCATGGTTTTGGGGCTTCAGCAAGCGCCAGCCTGGCCAAGAAGCCTCCGGCAGCCAGAGGCACCAGTGCCTCCCAGTCCCAAACTGGTTCAGGACTGCACAGACCTGCTCCCTGTTTGCGCCCTGCTCCCCAGCCGCGCTCCCCGGCCTGCAGCTCTCGAACCGGCTTTTCCTGCTGGAGAAACCCTCTCCCAGAAGGAACCAGCCCTGGTGACAGTCCGGCCGGAGGGACAGCCAGGCCCGGGAGCTGGGGATGTCCCAGCGGCTCCTCCGGGACCTTGGGAAGCCTCCCCAGGGAGGCCCCCGCAGAGCTCCAGGCGGGACAGGGCAGGGCTGGGCTTCTCCCAGACATTTCTGTCCCCTCTGAATTAATTCCTCAAATCTCAAGTTACGTTTCCCATGCGGGGAGGCGAGCCCGTGCCGTCACACAGCCTCCGGGTCACGCTTTGCCTCCTGCCTCGTCCCGGCCGCTTCCCTCTGGAATTGATCTCGAGTTCTATTTATTTCTATCTCTATTTCTATTTATTTCTATTTCTAATTTCTCCTGTTCCTAATTTCTCCTCTTCCTTTTCCTGTTCCTAATTTCTCTTAGTCCTTTTCCTATTCCTAGTCCTAATTTCTCCTATTCCTATTCCCTCCTGTTCATTTTCCTATTCTTATTCCTGCTCCTGTTCCTAATTTCTCCTATTCCTATTCCTATTCCTAATTTCTCCTATTCCTATTCCTGTTCCTAATTTCTCTTATTCCTTTTCCTATTCCTAATTTCTCCTATTCCTATTCCTATTCCTATTCTTAATTTCTCCTATTCCTATTCCTGTTCCTATTCCTATTCCTGTTCCTGTTCCTATTCCTATTCCTGTTCCTGTTCCATTCTTTCTCTTTCCATCCTGTCCTATTCCTATTCCTGTTCCTGTTCCTATTCCTATTCCTGTTCCTGTTCCTATTCCTATTCCTGTTCCTGTTCCTATTCCTATTCCTGTTCCTGTTCCTATTCCTATTCCTGTTCCTGTTCCATTCTTTCTCTTTCCATCCTGTTCACATTTTTGGTCATTTTTCTGCTTTACCCCTGGCCCCGGGGGTGGCGGCCGGGCCGGGACTCGAACCCGCGGCTGAGCCGGCGGGGCCGCTTCCCGCTGGGGCCCGCCGGGGGGGCCATTGG